AAAAAAAAAAAAAGCGCATCCTCGTAAATTACAATCATCAGAAAAAAACCAAACCCGTCATTAGTTTTTACTTCTCCATGAAAAGAAAACCAAGAACATAGATAAACACTGGAAAACTCAAAAACCCAGAAAAGATAACTAAAGAGAAAATCACCCCACAAATCAAAATCGAAAAATAAAAATAGAAAAAGAACAAAAGTGGGTTAAGAGTAGAGAGCTGCGGACCAGAAGCTGAGCTGGTAGAGGCGCTGATGAAGTCATTGAAATCCTTCACGTCGGATCTCTCCATAGCTACGGACCTAACTCCAATAACAGAGACAGATAAAAGTGATTAAGAAACAGCAGCCCAGGCTTCCATTTGGGAATTTGATAATTAGGGTTTTAGTAGAAACGAAGGAGACTCGCCCCACTGAGATATACACACACACAAAGTAAACACAGAGTGAGCCTATATTTGCCTCTGCGTTTGTGTATGTGTCGAGAGAGAGCGAGACAGCGAGACAATGTGTGTTTTGGTGTGTGTGTGTGTTTTGTATAAGTAGAAATTAATGATACAAATGGGTATAATTTTGAATTGAGAAGTAATTAGGCTGCAATTGATTATATTTTTGCACTCTTTTTTTATTGGCCATACAAAATTAGTACAAGAATTAATCATTCTTTCCTAGTTTAAAGGGATGTAATATAAAGAAGAATAATTGCTTTTAATGTGAATTGGTATTAAATAGTAAAATTTATATAGAGAAATGTATGATAATGCTTAGTTTTTAATTTAAAAATTAAATTGAAAAATGTGTATAGAAAAAAAGAGAGAACAATAAAATGGATGAGTGGTGTATTATTTGATTGATTGATGAATTAATAAGATTGAATATGTGTCGACCTTTTTTTTTTTGACAGAAACAATAAATGTTATAAATAAAAAAATTCATAATTACATTTAGTTCGACTCAAACAGTCATCTAGTCGGATCCAAGGAAGGTCTACACAGGTAGACATTAGACTAACCTAACACATTCACAACACGAACAACTTATATTCCCACAAAGAGAGAATCAACCTTCCACACAGACGAATAACACAAAACAAGCTTCCACATATAAGAATAACACAAAACATCCAACGAGGCAACAAAAGAGAAAAAACACAAACCAACATATAATATTACATGCTTGTAATAAACAATATTTTCAAATAACTTTTTGGAAAATTATTTGACCAAAGTAATATTGTGATAAAATTGTGGCTATCACACGCTTGTATAAGGTATGTAGTTTAATCCAATTTTCATATTATTTCATTTTTATATGAAATCAATTTCTCTTGATAAACAAATTTATAAAACCACTCGTGAAATCTATTCTTTTTATTTACCATCTAAACAAAATAATTATCTTTTAAACGAAATTTGAATTAAAACCAACCCAGTTTTAAACAATATGGGTTTCAATTATAAATATATAAATATAATTTGATAATATCAACTTGAATTTGAATATTTAATTGACAAATATTTCCACAAAAAAACGTGTTACAGTTGTAGTTGAAAACATTGTCATTTTGTTTGCCAAAAAAACAAAAAAACCGAGCCAACTTTTGCCTTAGAATATATACATTACAGATTCATTGAGCAGAGTAAAAAATTTGGTTTGTCAAATGATTCAACTTCAATCACCAGAGCAATTCATATTCACATGCATTAACAGGTTAGTCTTGTGTAAGACC